GGTTCAAACCCACCAGCCACTCCTCAGAAGGAAGATGGGGCAATCTACTTCCGTAGTGATACTGCCTCGGAAACCCAAGGAGAGGTCACTATGAGTGGGTCCGACTTGACGGTACATAACAACAACAACAGTAAGTGTGAAAGGAACCCTGGTTGCTCAGTTGTTAAGTGCTCAGCTGCTAACTCAAACATCAGTGGTTTAAGCTAACCAGCAGCTTAGCAGGAGAAAAGACCTTGTGATCTGTTCTTGTAAAGATTGCAACCTAGAAAACTCTATGGGACAGTGCTACTGTGCCATGTCATATATAGGGTGAGTCAGATGTCGGCCCAGCAGCACAACAATAACAACTTAGTGTGATGAGCTAATGATGTTGCTCATTTTTTCATGTGATTTAATTTTTGGTAGTATGCAATAGAAATATTTTTTAAAAAAGGTACAGTATGTAAGGCCCAATTTGTTTTTATTATTAGAGTCAACAGACATAAAATTATACCTCAATAAATATAAGCATAAACAGAAAAAAATAAAACCTATACATATTTTTCATTGAAAGTGTGCGTATTGGTAATTAATATAGAAAATTACTCTTAATGAATACGTTTTTTTGTTCTACAAAATCATCACAATGCACAAAGTCAAGAGTGAAATAGCAATTACATATATACTTTGAAAAGAATACTTTGTACCAACAATTAAAAATTTTAATGTGACAAATGAGCTTCTTGCTTGTAATTTATCTAATCTAGATTGGATTGGTGTTAATGCTAATCACAGGAGATTGTATGTGTGTGATTATTTGATAAAATTTGTATCTTAACTTTGTCTGTTTTTCTTTTAATAACATACATAGTAGAGATACCTTACATAGTAGAGGTAGCATTGTAATCATATCTCAATGATACATTGATATGAATGGAAATAGAAAGCAATTTTAGCTAGTTCAGGATACTTTTAACTTTTATCCAAAACAAGCAAATGATATTTTGATAGTTTAGCTTTATTCCTTTATAAGTAGCCAGTTCCACGATTTATCTTATAAAGATTTAGTTAAATTTGTCTTTCAATGGAAAAAAGTTTCCACATTTTATACGTTTTTGAGTAACGGTTGGCAAATTGCCCTTTAAATGTCATATATTATAACATGATTTTACTATACATGACTAGTACACAGCCTGCACAACATATGACTCGTCAGTCGAATGCTACAACATTCGGACTGGTCTGTATCCTTTTGTTCAGCAAGACAAGGGCACTGGTCACGAATATGAAGCCATGGTATTTTCAGTCGCCTCATATGTGTGTAAAGGCTGGACAGTGAATAAGCCTGAAGAAGAGTTGATGCCTTTGAATTGTAGTGTTGGCAAAGAATACTGAAAATACTGTGGACTGCCAGAAGAATGGACAGATCTGTCTTGGAAGAAGTACAGATGGAATGCTCCTTAGAAGCAAGAATGGCCACAGTTTGTTTCACCTTCTTTGGTCATGTTTTCAGAAGGGACCAGTCCCTGGAGAAGAATATCATACTTGGTAACGTAGAAGGTCAGCAAAGAAGGGGAAGATCCTTAATGAGATGGATTGACACAGTGACTGTGACAATGGGGTCAAGCATAACAAAGATTGTGAGGATGGTGCAGGACTGGGCAGTGTTTTGTTCTGTTGTATATTGGGTCGCTATGAGTCGGAGCCCACTTGACTGCACCTAACAACAACATCACCCTTTTACTATTGTTATTGTTAGTTGCCATGGAGTCACTTCTGACTCAGGGTGACCCTATGTGTACAGAGTAGAAATGCTCTGTAGGGTTTTCAAGGCTGTGAGCTTGGCACATTGCCAAACCTTCTTCCGTGGCACCTCTGGGTGGTTAGACCCTCCAACCTTGAGGCCAATAGTCAAGTGTAGTTCCACCCATTGGCCTTTATCCTAGTTTAGCTAAATTTTAATTAATTGGTGTTTTAATGGTCTTTGATAATCTATTTATAAATCAGCAGCACATATTGAATCCTGAAAGTCTATGATTTTATTATGTGAATTATCTCTTTTAAATTAAGGTTTTGGCTTGGACAGCAGCGTTGCAAACAATCTATAAAACATCTGCCTACGATAAGCAGTGAAACATTGCAGCTTTCCAATTACTCAACCCATCCTATTGGCAACCTTTCTAAGAATAAACTGTTTATTAAACTTACCCGTCTTCCACAATACTACATTGTAAGTATGCAAAGGGATGATTTGGCCAATCAAGTTTAGTAATTCTATTGGTGTCTTGAATGATTTATTGTTTAATTTAACTTGCAAATGTCTTTTATTGACTGTTTGTCTCAGATAGTGATTTTTTTTACCCAGGGGGAGGGATGGTGTAGAGAGAGTGAAGTCATCTCTCTTAAGAAGTTACATAATTATCAGCCAAAGTTAGAGAATATAAGACAGGCCTCCATCCCTCCGCCCTAGGACCTCTCCTATAGTGGACCTAGTTGCTGATTGGAATGAAGCATCTCTTCTATAAAAGAAAAAAAAAATTGAGAGCAACTACCATAAAGATTTAGAGATGTATTGATGTCAGATAAACTTGTTTGGTTTTAGTTGAATACTGACTTTCATAATGCAGTCTTTTACATATGGGCTGGCTGAAGTATAGCTGTATTTTCTCCACTTTGATTGATTAAAAGCAGATTCCATTTTATTGATTGCATGTGCTTTTTAGAACACAATGAGATCCTCCCTTTCTCTTTTTCATTTTTATAGGTGTTTTCCAGGTAGTTTCTTTGAAATCTTTGACTTGATTAAAATTGGCAGGAATTTGAAGTATGAACTCACCCTGATTATATTTCCCTGTTTTTAGAAATTTCTGTATACACCAAAATCTAAGGTGTTTGAAATTTTAATTCAGAATTGTTGGTTGAAGGTAATGATAGTGAATTTTTTAAGGTTTTGAGCTATACTTTTTAAAGATACTGCCTTAAAAAGGACCCTGTGTAGCCTGACATTTCTTAAGTGTGGGTACCTATGTAGGTTAATATGTCTCTCCTTGATGTGAATTTCAAAACATTACCAGACATACAACAAAGTTCTCAGTGAGCTGCATGCTCTACGTGTGAAATGATACGCAGAATTCATGGTTAATAGCCAAAGATCTCTTACATCCAGCCTGACACAAATAAAATTGTTGCAATTTATTATTTCCTAATCTCATTTAGCAACAGCAAAAGCCAGGTTTTAGTTTCAATGGCCAGTGATTTATTATCCAGCAGTAATTTGTTTCATTCACATGGTTTAAACCAAAACTGAATGTATGTTGACGCCTTATCCTCTGGATTAATCACTTCGAGATGATACATTCATAGAAGTGGAAAGCACTACTACCATGGACATTCAAAAGTTGATCTTTTAAATGTCTTTCTGAAGTTCTACTTTTTGTATGTGTCAGCTTTATTGAGATATAATTTACATAGGGTAGAAGTTCAGCCGTTTTAGTGTATGAATTTTGATGAATGCATACAGTTGTGTAACCTCCATCTTAATCAGGACACAGAACAGGACCTCCCTGTTCCCTCATGCTGTCCCTCTTTAATCAAACCCTCTTCCCACCCTCAACTGGTGACCACTGACCTGTTTTCTGTCTCTCTGGTTTTGAGTTTTCCAGAATATCATGTAAATGGAATCATGCAGTATGTAGCCTTCGAATGTGGCTTCTTTAACTTAGCATGATGCCTTTAAGATTCATCCATATTGTTGCATGTAGAATAATAGTTCATTCCTTTTTATTGCTGAGTAGTGTTACCATTGTATGGATATACCTAGTTTGTTTATCCATTTACCCATTGAAGGACATCTGGATTACTTCCAGTTTGGGGGAGATTATGAATAAAGTTACCATAAACATTTTTATACAGGTTTTTCGATAAATGTACATTTTCATTTGCTTGGGATTCATAACTAGGTTGAGATTTTTGGATAATTGGTACATTTGGCTTTATAAGAAACTACCCAAGTGTTTTCCAAAGTGGCTGTACCATTTTGCATTCCCATCAGCAGGTACTAAGAGTTCTAGCTGCTGTACGTTATCACTAGCACTTGGTATTGTCAGGTTATTTTATCTTTTAAAATTTTAGCTATTCTGATAAGTGTATGATAATGTTACAATGTTATATAGTTAACATAGTGTTTTACAGGGTTATGTAGTTACGTAGTGTTACACAGTGTTGTAGTGGTATCTTATGTTCTTAATTTACATTGCTCTAATGACTAATGTTTTTATGTGCTTATTAGCCATCTGTATATCTTCTTTGGTAAAGTATCCATTTTACTTTTAATTCTACAAATTCTTATGTGCATCAGTTGATGCTTAGGTGTTGGCCAAACAATTTCTTTAAGTGTGTTGGTAAGGGGAGGGAGGGAGGAAGAGGAAAGAGTGTGTATTAGTCAAGAGCCTTTTCTAATCACATTTATTTCTCTCACTAAACTATGTAGGGGACTTTTCTTAAATTTTGGCTAGACTTTGAAGATAGTAAGCTGGTATAGTGGGTAAGAACAAGGTCTCTGGAACCAAACTTCTGGAATCAAAGCATCATTTTTTAACTCTGTGACTTGGGCAAGTAACCTAACTTTTTGTGCCTCAGTTTCTTCATCAGTAAAATGAACATAAATAATACCTACTGCACAGGTTTATTAGGAGGATTAAGTGGCACAGGACTGGGCAGTGTTTCATTCTGTTGTACATGAGGTCGCTATGAGTTGGAGACGACTCAAATGGCACTAACAACAACAATAGCAAGTGTGTTAATATAGGTAAAATATTTAAGACACTATTTGGCATATAGTGTAAGTCCTATATCAGTGTTAACTATTGTTGATGTTGTTGTTATTCTTATCCTTACAAGGACCATAGTTTTCAATAGAAAAATGTTTATTTTTATATGTTTCCAAGTATGTGAAATAGTTGTCATTTTTCTCTGCCATGGAATTTTCTAGGATCTTATAATGGTTACTGAGAACAGGGCAATTTAAAATAGGTACCATGCTAGAACATGGACTTAGGCATAAACTTTTTTCAATTTATAGGCTAAAATATCAATATCAAGAACACTGAATGCTAGTTCACATGCCCCATTTGCTATAGCTTATGGCTGCTTTAGGAAGCCCTGATGGTGCAGTGGTTAAGTGCTCAGCTATTAACTGAAAGGTCAGCAGTTCAAACTCACAAAGCTGCTCCACAGAAGAAAGGACTTAGTGACCTGTTCCTGTAAAGATTACAGCCTAGGAAAACCTATGGGACAGTTGTATTCTGTCATACAGGGTCGCTGTGAGTTGGAATTGACTTGACAGCAGACAGCAATGACAACAACATGGTTGCTTTTTCTCTTATCATTCTTTAGTCTGACCATTTTTTAGAAAACAAATTCTAATATATATTTACTAGGAATGCTTCTTTTGATATCGTGATTTTTAAATAAAAGACATCTACATTAGATTTCTAATTCTGACCCCCACCTATATAAGAACAAAAATATCCAACACCGATTTTTCTCTCATCCTCATTTCTGATTTGGGGCCTTTTTAGGTTGTGGAGATGTTGGAGGTTCCAAATAAACCCACACAGCTGGCATACAAGTACTACTTCCTGTCTGTGAGCAGTACAGATCGTGATGACAGCCCTGTCACGGCACTCGTGCTACAGCAGTTCAAGGAAAATACCCAGGATGTGGTTGCATGTACAAAAACTGGGAAACAGCCCAGAACTGGTGCCAAGCGCAAGGTGTGCTCACATATGGAAATGAACACATAATTTTTGTGTATTAATTTGTTGTTTTCTTTAACCATTTTTTAATATTGGAAAGAGTTAGACATGGTTTGTAAGAACCTGGGCAGCCATAAGGCTTAAGTAACATTTGTCTCCATTTTCTTGAAAATACTTCTTTCAGTTAATTAAAATTAATTATGCACCATTTTTCAGAAGAGAATCTGTTAAATACACAAAAGTTACTACTAAGTTACCAGTGTTTAGCTCAGTGTTTGTTCAGTAAGCATTTTGTTGAATCAACATAACATTTGTTTTATTTAGTTAACCCTGAGTGTTGTTACAGTAGGTTAATTGCTTTAACTAATTGTGTCACATGTAGTTTTTTACTCACTTGTGTTCTTTCCTTAAATTCTAGTTGTCTGGTGATCCATGTCCAGTAGAACCCAAGAAAATCAGACGATCAGGAGAAATGTGTGCCTTTAATAAAGTTCTAGCTCACTTTGTCGCTATGTGTGATACAAATATGCCATTTGTAGGACTTCGGTTGGAGGTAATTTTTTACAAACAGTTTTGGGTACTGTACACAAGAAAGTAACTTTCAGAATGCATTGCTAAAGATAATGATTCCATTAGGAGAATCAGACTTGTGATCCTCTTCATTTTGGGAGGTGGGAGGTTGAACTTATAGCATCTCATGGTATACATATAAAATACTATCATGACTTAAAATTATATGACTTAAGATTCTAGGCCTCCTCTTCTTTATGTTAATGGAAACTAAATTCAGTTTACATATGAACGACTTCTGAGAATTAACATCTTATTCATATACCTCTTCATAGGTGCATTGGTTAAGCCTTTAGAGATGAGTAGTTGTGCTTCTCTATCTACTTGGTTGGGTTCTTAGACTTTTTTCATCATTTGGATTGGTTATCTAAATGTTATTCAGTGTAATAACAGTGGGAAGGAAAGATACATGGTACCCAAGGGCAATGTAATACATTTGTATCCTCTCTCCCGGTTTGCAGTCTGTCTCTCCCCAGCCCATAGGCTAGAGGTCGCAAAAACTTGTATTTTTATAGTGCCCATATAGACTAGCACCTACATAGTCCCTCTTGTCAATACTCCTATGCCTGTTAGACATATAAGACATCTAAGAACATTCTGTAGTATCCTATTGGGCTCAGTCAAGCTCTTAAAAACTTATCTACTTTTTCTTGTCTCAGTGAAAACTCTAGCTATGTGAAAGACAAAAGCACATTTTCTCTTTAAAATAATTTCTACTGAAATGTGAATAACTAAATTTAATCATCCCAGAGATGTTCATATCTCTAATTGATAGAATATAGCAGTATTTTTGTTTTTAATTGTGATTTGGTGAAAGTTTACAGAGCAAATTCACTTTCCATGCAGCAGTTCACATACGCTTTGTCTCATGACATTGACTGCAATTTACCACAATGCAGCATTTCCCCTCCCACTTCCTCCTCACAATTACCTCTTCCCTGTGTCCATCCTTCCATGTACTCCTGCCCCCTGAGCTGTCTCCCTGTGCATAAACAGCCCTTCTTTCTCCCATGATTGTTTTCTCCAAGGAGTGTATCTACCTCAGGTACATATTCAACTCATATGCCTGTCTTTTGTTTGGCTGGAAGCCACAGGTATGGGTTCAATTCCACACCTGAAAGGTCAGCTAGGGGCCATAGTCTCAGTGGTTCTCTCAGGCTCTATCAGATCAGCAAACCTGGTCCCTTTTTTTTTTTTATGAGTTCAGTTTTGTTCCACATTGTTCACCCACTCTATCCAGGATTACTTACATAGATCCCCCTCTAAGTGGTTGAGAGTGGTAGCTGGGTCCCATCTTGTTTTTCTAGCCTGATAGTCATACTGGCTGAGGATTGCATGGTGTACCAGGCACTTGGACTAATTGTTTCCATGAGTCTTTGGTTTTCTTCATCCTTCTTTGCTCTAGATGAGGAGAGACCCATTGCCAGCTTTTAAGATCCCAGTTGCTATTTGCCAAAGTAGGAGGTGCAACACTGTTTTGTGTATTGTGTTATGCCAGTTGAACTTGATGTCCCCTTGTGACTATGGTCCCGAGCCCACAGGTCCAACTGCTTGCTCCCTCTGGGTAGCTTGCTGTGCCCAAGAAGTGACTACAACCTTGTCCCTTGTCCCTTGTCAGCTCTTCTGAACATACTCATACACTTGTAGAAACATTGTCTGCCAACCCTATACATGGTCTTGGGCACACTCCCCCTGCATACCTAATACATACCTAATAGTTCAGCCTGTCCACCCATCTATCCACCTGTGTAGCTATGTTTGCCTTCACTGACAACGCAGTACTGTATGTGCAAACGGGTTCATTTTGTTGTCTGTACCTCCCACATACCTCTGTATGTCTTCCTCTTCCTCAATGCTACCATGTTGATCACTCATTTGGTACATTGCTCTTCCCTTCACCCAAATCAGTACTTGTCTTTACCTATCTAACAGTGGTCCCTCCCCTCCCCTCCTTTCCCTGGTAACCAACAAAGAAAATTTCCTTCCATATATAAACCTGTCCTTGACTTTTTTACAATAACGAACTAATACAATATTTGTCATCCTGTGACTCAGCATAATGTCCTCCATTATGCTGAGTTCATCCACGTTATGTGGTGGTTTGCAGATTCTACGTTATTCTTTAGGGTTGCATAGTATTCCATTGTGTGTATATACCATAGTTTGGTTCTCTATTCCTCAGTTGATGGACACCTAGGTTGTTTCCATCTTTTGGTATAGCAACATTTTTTAAGCGCTCCCTCACTTTGCTTCCTTCTGAAACTAAACCCTTACTGCCTATTTGGTCAGCAGCTATTTTGCTAAACCTCTACCCCTTCCAGGCCCAAATAACAGTTCTCAGTCAAATACATAGAGCTGCCTTAAATCCTTTCTGGAACGAAGACCAAAAAGACCCCCTGCCATCAAGTCAATTCTGACTCATAGCGATCTCCACTGGGTTTCCAAGGCTGTAAATCTTTAAGGAAGTAGATCACTTCATTTTCCTCATGGAGCAGCAGCTTGTAGGTTTGAACCAGCAACCTTCTGGTTAGCAGCCACATGCCTTATCCACTATACCACTAGGGCTCCTTTTCTGGAACAAAATGGTTATAAATAGTCTATCACATAAGATCTGGAAATAATTACCAAAGGCAAGCATTTCATTGATAGGTGAGATGACTTTTTGGCAAAACTTAGTAGCCTGTAGTTCCATGGACAGGGTTTCAGGCACTGTCCTTGCAGTCATCTTTTTAACTTGTTTTCTAAATTGCTCAGTTGTGCAAGATATCTCATTGGATAAGTGCATACATTGGAAATCTTTGCTTCTTGGGTTTCACATAGGAAATAGTTTAATTTGTTAAAAATAATGTATTTCAGAGATGTAAACTAAAAGATAGCTGTTAATTATCAGAAATGAGATATGACTATGACTCAAACCTTGTTGGAAGTAAACATAATAGTTTTAAGTTTTAGAAAACTAATCTTATTTATAGTTTACTTCATTTGGAGCTACCAGGATTGATTGCAAATTACTTTTGCCTAATTGCAAAAGTTAGATCAATGAGTCAAATTTTGTGAAGGTGGTTTTTTTTTTTTCTGTTTAACAAAGAGAAGGTCTGAGGCAGCTTTAAGCTTCACTGAAATTGATGTAGTTACCTAGGGAATTAAATGATAGGGGCAGTGCTCATGCCTAGTAAGTTGTAACTTTGGAGAGGAACAGAAACCATGGGAATAGAGACAGTTGTATTTAGAGAGGGTAGTTCCTTTGTAAAACTGGTGGTCTGATATAACTGTGTTTTTCTTTTTCCAGTTGTCCAATTTGGAGATTCCACATCAAGGAGTGCAAATGGAAGGCGATGGCTTTAGTCATGCAATCCGCTTATTAAAGTAAGCCCGTCACGTGTCTCATTTGGTGCCTCACATTACAGTCACACTGCCAGAGAGCTGCTCTTCTCCTTCCATGAGACAGCATAAGGCAGAGTTCAGTACCTGTGGGTGTCCTGGACTTCTGCATAAAATTATTAAGGTCTGCAGAGGGTTCTCTTTAACCTGTGGAGAAGAGACCCAGTGCCCCTTGGCATATTAGGATGTCTTTTCCCAGCACTGCTTTCATCCATTCTGCAGATATTTATGGAGTGCCACTATGTGTCAGGCTTGAGTCACGTTAGGGCCTTTTCAGATGGCTGTGAGTTTGTATAGCAGGGACATCTGCTTTTTGAGAAGTCAGGTACCACTTGTACTTGGACTGAGGGAGGTAGAGTGGGAAGTCTTAGCCAGAAAGGATAACTGCTAATGTGAAGTCTTGGAGGGAAGACAGATCTAATATCATAGAACTAAAAGGATTTTCTGAGGTAAAGGACATAGAAGGAAATAGGAGTTTGCAGGGGTTTTGCTAAGTTTCAGGTGCCTAGACATCCCTTTGTGTAGGCAGGGATGTGTTTCAAGCTCAGATAACCGATTTGGGCAGGAGAAGTAGATAAAGTTATCACCATGGTGATAGTGATTGAGCTGGGGTAATAGATTAGATCTTGGGGGAAGAGTATAAAGGCAGATGGACAGAGGGCTTGGTTCTAAATGATTAGAGGACAAGGAAACAAAGGATGCTTGGCAGTAAAATAATACATAGTAAAATAATAAATAGTATTGTATATTTAAATGCCACACTGTACATGTGCTTTATAAAGTGATCCACTGTGAACTATTGCAAAGCTAGAGTACCATATAAGAGATCAGCTTTTTTGGTCCAGAAACCAGTTTTGTTTTTTGGACATTTTATTGTTGTTTATAAATTATATAAGCATTTTTTATTTATGGAATTCTTATGTCTACTAAGAAATGGCATCTCTGCAATTTGAGCAGTGGAGCTTTAACTTTAACTTGTTTGGGAATCATTTTGTTTTTGTGGAAGATGGGAAAGGCAAGCAATTCAAGTTCTGGCTCCCTGCTTCTGGACTTGAGGGGTAGGAGTGTGTGTGTGCATGTGCGGACATTGTATGCACAGGCACACTGTTGGCACCTGTGTATCCTTGTGCTTGCTTTAGATAAAGAATTAATATTTGAATAGCTCCCCACCTGGCTGTCTAGTCTTACTACTATCTCTGCAAAAAGTTTTCAGGAGACAGATATCTGGTCTTACAATGGAAATCAATGAGAAAAATGTAGTACTTTTTACCTTTGGTTTTGAATTACTTCTGCTTTTTTTTTTTTCTTATTTTTTTTCACTCTTCTTGGCACCTGCAGAAAAATAGATAATGTTAACATTTGTGTTCTGTT